CAATTGTAATCTGAGGAGGGAGGAAAAAGGCGATACACAAGACGTTCATGGGGTGCAAAGATAGTGAGAAATGGCGACTAAGGTGGGTTTTAATTTGACGAGTTTGGTTCCTTAGCAAATGGCAATCAACATTTGTGGAATATATCAAGCTTCAATTTTCTCATCATCGTAAATCAGTCCTCATTTCTTGTTAGCACTGCTTCACTGTGCGACAGATTACACCCACTTATATAAAGTCTACAGGTTACGGATATATTCGCAGCTACGTACTGGCGCACAAAAGGGATCTGATGTGTATGAGGAAGATCCTCAGAGGTGGTATGGGAGCGGAGTTACAGCAGTATTTCCCGCTACGGACAGAGAAACGCAAGCGATGGTATTCTCTTACGGTGCAGAAGCTTAATTAGGCTGGTTTTCGATTAGTTTATCAACTCTTGCGCTGGTCCACAACACTCTGGGATTCCCGTCTATCGACTGTGGTGTAGGAGACCACCGACGCTGTTTCCAAGCGGTGCCCGGATGAGCACCTTAGGAGACTGTGGACGGATGACCATATGTGATCGGACCTTTGACCCTGTGGGGACGGGGCTTACACGAGTAACCTGCTCTCTTCCCTCAAGAATATGCATAGATATAGATATTTGTTTGTATCCTGGACTATTGAACATTCACAAGGCATACTGATTTTCATACCTTGAGGATGGAATAGTAAACTGTGTCCGCATATATATGCCCTACAAAAAGAACCTCGAAATCGGCTGTAATCAGAACTGAAAGAAACCTTTTTTGAAATCGAACTGAGCAGACATAATTTGAAATTGTTAAGTCTCCACAATCAGCTTCTACCCTCGGAACATGGAACAAGCTGGTTGCAAGGAAAAGATGCCAGTTATACTGGCCAAATATAAGCAAAAATAGGTTTACTCATGTCAAATTTACTAGAACATTAAACATTTCGAAGCAAACTCAGATGGACAATGCACATGATGAGCGTGCGTCTTACCATGAAGTATGAGTCTAGAATCCCAATGAACCCAATGGGGTGTACAGTACACATATAAGTCATCGATAATATTGCTTTTACCCATTCACGCAAGATAACCGTCGTACGCCGCTTAGGCCACGTTCCGGCGTGGGTTCCAATCCCACAGACACTCCTGATCGACCTCCGTCAAGCCTGTTGACTAAAATCATTCTTTTCCTGGTCCAGTATGACTAAATTAAAAACCAACTGTAGAGTCTTTTACAATTTGTAATTAAAGTGATTTGTTCCCGTTGACCCTACTGTCCTTACATTTATCTTACTCGCTAAACATGGATGAATGCTGGTCAATCACTATGGACAAGATGTGCATCTGACAACTGTTTCTATATGCTGCACAGCGTGCCAAGAGCGTAATTACACTGGTGATCATTTCTATTAATTAAGCACATGATCAGCACAGATCATACGCAGCCTAATGAGTTAGGATTGATTGCACAAAGATTGATGCTTGATCGTAACAATGCACTTGGCATAAAACATTGTGGTCTACTGGATGCTTTCCAAACTCATTGTGCAATCCATCCAAATGTGACGTCAGTAAGTTTGGATCTCACAAGAATGGTGAAATGAAAAGAGTACCAAACCACACTATTCTGCACTGATTGGTTATTATCCCTTTGACTTCTGCTACAATTAATTCTATCAAATGTGCATATCTAACGGTACTGCAGGCCACAGCAACATAATTGATCTTTGCAAGTTTAATTGTATTTTCAAATCCAATTATCAATGTAGTACTCTGAAAATGTCACATGACTATCATATGATTATGGGTGACGGTACATGGGATGTTTAACTCTTGAGCTCACAAATTCGATGTAAGTTGTTGGATTAATTTTTGCACTAATAACAACGAACATGACCATAGTGAATTAAACCTACCTTTGTGAGGTGGTGGTAGTGATGATGATAGTGGTACTACCGCGCAAACCAGTCCGTCCTCAGCATGTTTTAAAGCAATACGGTCGGCGCGCACGCACAGTTGCACACTGCACTAAGATATCAGCACAATCCAATCAATTAGTTAGCAGTACCGTATCGATTCACTTGTGCCAATATCAATGTATTCGTGTCCTTCTTAAAAAAACCATACAAGATAGTAGTGACCATTCGGATGTGGGTGTATTGTTTGAACAGGAGAGAACTGTGAGAAATTGGCACATCCTGAATGAAGCCATTATGGTACACATGCTATGCTACAAATTTTTCTAATTTGTCTAATAGTACAATGCACAATGGTATTCATTATGCTCCAATTTGTACTGGGTTATAATCCATTCCCTTCTGAAGTAATACAACCAAAACTAAGTGTTTGAGTTTTGTGGTAAGTAAGATACGATCGCAATTTTCGTCCAGCAGACACGTATTGCTCACCCTTGTTGTAGACCATAATTGTATTGTGTTTATTTATTCGGGGATTGGAAGCAATTTTCATGCCGCCTAGCGCATGATCAGACCAGAGCTCTCGTTCTATTCGAACTTGTTCGTCCATGGATTGCTCATATCGAAAACATTGTGTCATCTAAAGTCTCCGTGAAACTATTTGGAGCTTCCAACACTCACAATGTCCGCATAAGAAGAATCGAAATCGCACGGGTAATCATCTACCGGATTCCCCCGATAGACGGGAAGAAGGTCGAAGAAGTAGAGGTTCCTTTACTGGCAGACATTTAACGAAAATAATTATATATATATATCTAGGAGATCGCCGACTGAATAAGTATCAACCAGCGAGATACCGGTTTGGTTCGCCTGAGAACTCTACAGTATTCATCAATCCGATTACTTGCGTCGGGCTTACAACGGATTCGTCGGGACAATTGTCACGTGATTGGCTGTTCAGGAAGTGTGTTGCGGTGCGTACGTATTGTCATCGGAACTCACTGCACGATTACCACAGAGTTTCACCTGATACATGCACACATATGTGAGATATATAAATAAATGCACACATAACTAAATAAACTTCAAATAAATAGGCTCAAAATGTGACCGAACTTTTCCAATACAAATATTCATATATATCTTATAGAAGTTGTAATTATGAAAACACGGCGATGTCGGTATAGGTTACCGTGGGTAACCTTTATCAAGTTGATTTTACAATCGCATGGCGCATCGATTTTTGGATACAATCCCTACATCGTTCGGATCTGACACTATGTTCATATATATCCGCATCTGTCGCATCTACGCTTACAGTAATCGGAAAGCCTTCATGAGCACCTGTCAACTGTCATCATCTGACACTTAATTTCAATGAAACAAGTGATGTTTTGGTCTATCCTGGATGTGCTTTGAATTATTCCCTCTTTGAGCATCGGAGATCAACAAAACACTGGTGATCCAGGTCAAAACCTCTGTTCCTTGAGAGAGATTCAAGTACACCGTTTGCTAGACCACCGATCATTCTTTACGCATGCCAAATACACTGGTTTAGGTATACGTGTTATTTTGCGAGAATATTCTTTCGGTTTAGAATAAAGCATTATATATATTCAACTAAAAACCCCATCAATAAGATTAGCAAGAGCAAGAAGAAATATAGCACTCCCTAAATACGGTTGTTAGCACTCACTGTACGGTGAATATTCAGTCCCAACTTGTGAAACACGCACTTTCCGCCAAGTCAACTTTATGTGGTCACTAGCGTACAAATTCGCGAATAATCAGAATACAGCTCTACATTTCCTCCTTCTCGGATATATTTTTGTCTTTTTTGGTGCGTATCGTATATATACCTCTTAAAAGATATATTCGCGGTCATAGTGTGATGGAAGGCAGTTCAAAGAGAGTCCTGGCTAGCGACCGAAGCAAGAATGGAAGCGAGGTTATAATCGGT